GTCGACCCTCAAAGGGTTAAAATTAATATTTCATGTCGTAAAAAATTTTTTTTTTATTCATACTTTGGGGTGTCAGGAACGGATTAATTTGACTTCCATTATTTCTTATGGGGAAAATTAATTCACCTAACGATAATTTCGCCTAACGTTGAGCTCTCAGGAACGGATTAAAAGCGTTAGGCGAGGGTCCACTGTACTCGAAATTCTTCAAAGGTAAGGTATATCAAAGTGTAGTTACGTTTCTGAAAATGCCATGCTAGGTAAAACTGTGTTAAATGAACTGAAGAACTTATTGGAAAAATAGGGTTTATGTTCCTGAGAGCCCCCCAAAAAAGCCAAACATTTTTTAGGCCTCCGCCTCTTACATAAATAAAAGTGAATGTGTAATTGTACTTTATTGCTAAGATATATTATGTTGTTTTTACTGCTTAAGACTACAAATGTAACAGAAATAATAGTATTTCTTACCTTAAATTGTGGGTGCTGGTGTTTGTGGATGATTGTGAAGAGAGTGGAGAGTTATGTTGTGGTCCTACTGGGCTGAGGTGGATGGTAGTAGTATTGGTACTGAAGTCGATGGTTGTACTGGAGTGTCAAAGTCAGTAAGTCAAGTCAGTCAGTCAGTCAGTCAGTCAGTCAGTCAGTCAAAGTCAGTCAGTCAAGTCAGTCAGTCAAGTCAGTCAGTCAAGTCAGTCAGTCAAGTCAGTCAAGTCAGTCAAGTCAGTCAAGCAGTCAGTCAGTCAGTCAAGTCAGTCAGTCAGTCAAGCCATTCAATAAGTCAGTAAAGTTATTCAGCGAGTCAAGTCATTCAGTCAGCTGAGTCATTCAGTAAGTCAATTCAGTAAGCTATTCATTCAAGTCAGTAAGCTATTCATTCAAGTCAGTCAAGACATTCAGTAGGTCAGTCAAGTCATTTAGTAGGTCAGTCAAGTCATTCAGTAGGTCAGTCAAGTCATTCAGTAGGTCAGTCAAGTCATTCAGTAGGTCAGTCAAGTCATTCAGTAGGTCAGTCAAGTCATTCAGTAGGTCAGTCAAGTCATTCAGTAGGTCAGTCAAGTCATTCAGTAGGTCAGTCAAGTCATTCAGTAGGTCAGTCAAGTAATTCAGTAGGTCAGTCAAGTAATTCAGTAGGTCAGTCAAGTATTCAGAGGTCAGTCAAGTAATTCAGTAGGTCAGTCAAGTCCATTCAGTCAGTAGTCAAGTAAGTTATTCAGTCAAGTCAGTAGTTCAAGTCAGTCAGTCAGTAGGTCAGTCAAATCAGTCAGTAGGTCAGTCAAGTCATTCAGTAGGTCAGTCAAGTCATTCAGTAGGTCAGTCAAGTCATTCAGTAGTCAGTCAAGTCATTCAGTAGGCAGTCAAGTAATTCAGTAGGTCAGTCAAGTAATTCAGAAGGTCAGTCAAGTAATTCAGAAGGTCAGTCAAGTAATTCAGTAGGTCAGTCAAGTCATTCAGTCAGTAAGTCAAGTAAGTTATTCAGTCAAGTCAGTAAGCTATTCAAGTCAGTCAGTCAGTCAGTCAGTCAGTCAGTCAAAGTCAGTCAGTCAAGTCAGTCAGTCAGTCAAGTCAGTCAAGTCAGTCAAGTCAGTCAAGTCAGTCAAGTCAAGTCAGTCAAGTCAGTCAGTCAAGCCATTCAATAAGTCAGTAAAGTTATTCAGCGAGTCAAGTCATTCAGTCAGCCGAGTCATTCAGTAAGTCAATTCAGTAAGCTATTCATTCAAGTCAGTAAGCTATTCATTCAAGTCAGTCAAGACATTCAGTAGGTCAGTCAAGTCATTCAGTAGGTCAGTCAAGTCATTCAGTAGGTCAGTCAAGTCATTCAGTAGGTCAGTCAAGTCATTCAGTAGGTCAGTCAAGTCATTCAGTAGGTCAGTCAAGTCATTCAGTAGGTCAGTCAAGTCATTCAGTAGGCCAGTCAAGTAATTCAGTAGGCCAGTCAAGTCATTCAGTAGGCCAGTCAAGTCATTCAGTAGGTCAGTCAAGTCATTCAGTAGGTCAGTCAAGTCATTCAGTAGGTCAGTCAAGTCATTCAGTAGGTCAGTCAAGTCATTCAGTAGGTCAGTCAAGTCATTCAGTAGGTCAGTCAAGTAATTCAGTAGGCCAGTCAAGTAATTCAGTAGGTCAGTCAAGTAATTCAGAAGGTCAGTCAAGTAATTCAGTAGGTCAGTCAAGTCATTCAGTCAGTAAGTCAAGTAAGTTATTCAGTCAAGTCAGTAAGCTATTCAAGTCAGTCAGTCAGTCAGTAGGTCAGTCAGTCAGTCAGTAGGTCAGTCAAGTCATTCAGTAGGTCAGTCAAGTCATTCAGTAGGTCAGTCAAGTCATTCAGTAGGTCAGTCAAGTCATTCAGTAGGTCAGTCAAGTAATTCAGTAGGCCAGTCAAGTAATTCAGTAGGTCAGTCAAGTAATTCAGTAGGTCAGTCAAGTCATTCAGTCAGTAAGTCAAGTAAGTTATTCAGTCAAGTCAGTAAGCTATTCAAGTCAGTCAGTCAGTCAGTAGGTCAGTCAGTCAGTCAGTCAGTAGGTCAGTCAAGTCATTCAGTAGGTCAGTCAAGTCATTCAGTAGGTCAGTCAAGTCATTCAGTAGATCAGTCAAGTCATTCAGTAAGCCAGTAAAGTCATTCACTAAGTCAATCAAGTTATTCATTAAGTCATTCAGTAGGTCAGTCAGGTCATTCAGTCAGTCAAGTCAATAAGTCAAGTAAGTTATTCAGTCAAGTCGGTAAGCTAGTCAAGTCAGTCAGTCATTCAGTAGGTCAATCAAGTCATTTAGCAGGTCAATCAAGTCATTCAGTAGGTCAGTCAAGTCATTCAGTAGGTCAAGTCATTCAGTCAGTCAAGTCAATAGGTCAAGTAAGTTATTTAGTCAAGTCAGCAAGCTATTCAATCAAGTCAATAGGTCATTCAGTAAGTCAAGCAGTCATTCAGTAAGTCAGTCAGTCAGCCACACAAACTTATGTTTACCTCTTTGTGTGTACAAAGTAACACTTCATTATGCCACAGCTTATCTTTTGTCTAATACCTTTGTTTTCTTTGTTAATTCTAAGACTTAAATGCTTATACCTTTTCTTGCCACTTTCAACAACATTGGTATGCCTGCTGGGTGTCATGATTGTTTGGCAAATACAATATATAGTAATTAAAAGATCAAAACACAATTCACAAACACAGCTAGCTTGTAGCAGAAAAAGACTGGACATGTATGAAGTATGAATGCTGGGATGGTAGGGTGGTGGGGGTGGGGTGGCAGGTGATGGCGGGAGGTCTTCAACGCAGATCCACAACAAGGCAGCTGCTTGAGGAAAAGGCAATTTTTTTCCTTCCCGCAAATTGAACTGTGTTAAATTAATTTTATGACGCGTTACATAAAATTGCCCCAATTCTTCAATCATGCTATACCCGAATCATGCCAAATAAACTCATGCTAAATGACAGCCTACTGTATATAGTGTTCCTTTTGAATTCATTTTTTCCATACTGAAGCAGCTGGAACTTATCATCACTGAACTTCACGTTGTTCTCCACTGCCCACCGGAAAACCCTGATAATGTCTTCTTGTAATTTTTCAGTGCCATCCCTGGCAACACACCCCCCCACTCTTCATAGATCTAAACTTACTCCCTGTTCAGTACATCCACACTTACTACTGTGCAATCTACATCTACAGGACCTTAAATTCCAGTATTAACCTTGACCTAAAATGCTTTCTTGATAGTTGTGACAGAACCCACAGGCACAACACCAGACACAAACATCTCTATGACATTCCCCGTGTCCGACTAAACCTTTACAAAAATTCAATGTATGTGAAAGGCCCTAAAATCTGGAACACCCTACCTGAAAATTCCAAAACTGCAGACACATTCATCACCTTCAAAACTACCATCAGAAAACATCTTATCTCCCTGATACACCCTGTCAACTACTAATACGAACACCACCTGGTGGTTCACACTTACACTCACTCACCCATTTGACCATAAACAGAAATATCAGTCTCAATCTTAAAATAATGAATCTTAACTAGTCAAAAGTTGGCCTGTGATACTCCAATACTGAAACTATGTATAGTGCCAAAACAAAAGCATTCACATTGCTAAACTCACAACTAGTATTTAGTCACTTAGCCATAATACCAACTTATCTCATAATTCTGTAACATTTTAAACCTAAGATTTAATATAAGTCTGCCCGAAATGCCTAGCCATGCTAGGCGTTCTAGTGGTACACTCTGTAATTATTATTTTACTACATGTAAACCACACAATAACCAAATTCTGTAAACTCAGCATTGTAATACTTATAGAGAATAAAGTTTGAATAGTTACTTTCATGCTTATTTTAGTGTCATCTGCAAATGATGATACAAAAAGTGTGATGGGGGTTTTGATGTGTCTGCTATGAGGATGAGGAACAGCAGAGATGCCAGGACAGTGCCTTGGGGCACTAAATAAATTCACTTCCTCCACATACCCTTTCTAATCTGATACAATTTTTCATTGCATACACTTCCTGTTACTCTCACTAATTTGCTGTTTTCTACATAAACTTTTATTTTTTTTTTTTACATACACCTTCCAAAACTCCTCCAACACCCTCTGCACCTTCAGAATCTTCCAAAAAGACTTGTCATTAGCAAAGAGTGATTGTGACAACTAAACTTTGTATTAGTCATATTTTAATTTCACACTGTCTACCTATGACTATCTTGTCCCATGAAGCCAGGATACAGTGAATCCCATAGTGGCCAGTAAAAAAAGTTGGACCAGATGCCGAGACTTAGCCCCCTGCAAACATAAAAAGGCAAGTATGCATAGGTGATCACTTTCATGCCCCCCCCTTCCTTCCCAACACACACACACACACACACACACACACACACACACACACATACATATTGTCCATACCCTAGTCTAGGCCAACATCACTGCTACAAGATCATCATCAAACCTAAAGGTCAGGTATTTAAAAAAACTGGCAAGAAAAACAATACTAATATGACTTACGTAGCCTTCGTACAACTAATCGGTGTGTAGGAGAGAAAATATTTCTTCTCTCTTGACTGCGATAGTGAAACTGTGAATGGTGAAAAGTCCGTGTCTTCCTTGGATAGCATGAAGGGACACTTCAGAGGAGATCCTGTCATATCTAGATCTGCCAGAAAAATCAGAATAATTTTTTTTTTTTTATTCTGACCATATAAATTTAGATCTAAATGTTTATACACTTTAAAGGAATAGTTAATAAAAAATGAACTACAGTATATGGATTACTGGTCAATTGTCAAAGCAGATAGTGAGCTTGCTAAACCATAGCAAGCTGATCACAATTATTGTACTGTACTAAAATTACTAGTTTAAAAATTATCCAAGAATCCGTCAAATCCGTCAACCAAATAAGGGGGGGTTCAAATTGCTTAAATTACATTTAACAACTGTGCTCCCTCCAAATTTGTAGTACTCTTAATTAATTTTGAATGTATAGCCTCTGACTTTCAAATTTTAAAGTTTTAGCAAGGAAGAAAATTTTAACCCTTTGACTGTTTCCGACGTATAAATACGTCTTACGAGCCAATGTTTCTGACGTATTTATACCCACAAATTCTAGCGGCTTCAAATCAAGCGCGAAAGGCCTGGTAGGCCTACATGAGAGAGAATGGGTCTCAGTGGTCGGTGTGCGCCCTGTGAAAAAAAATCTGGGACCCAGCGGTGCATTGTGGGAACGCCATGTTGTTAGTCCATTTTCACCATGCCTCTCGGTAAGAAGTTCCTCACTCCTCGGCGGATTGGAGGTCTTTTGTTCCCAAGTGATAGCTCAAACAGCGATGAAAATGTCAGTGACAGTGAATTCCAGGGTTTTGAAGTAAGTGTTACCGGAAAAAGTGCCCAGGATAATGTAATTAGTGATGAAAACCCAGATGACCCACAACCTTCCATCTCTGGTGCTGGGCCAGCTTGTTCACGTTCATGTTCGCCTGTACCAGGATGAAAGAGGAAACTATTTGGTCGTGTACAACACCCAGATGTTAGCAGTGATAGTGATAGTGATTTCAAGGTCATTGAAAGCAGTTCTAGTGAGAGTGAATATTCCCTAGTGAAGCGGCAGTATGTACGACGTAGCATGCGGTCTGGTAGTGTTTCATATGTTGTTCCAAGGGGAAGGAGAAACTCTGGGAGCATATCCCGTGGCCCTACACCACGACCTGATAGTGAGGATGACGATATTGTAACGATGGGTATGAATGATGTGAATGATGGAGCAGGCAGTGGTGGTGATAGTGAGGGTGGTACGGCCCATGTGGCACCATCAGCGGGTCACGCTACTACCCACGCTGCTGATTCTGCTCAACAACCAGCCTCACCCTACCCCACACTCCCACAATCTGCACCACCACAACCTGCGCAACCACAACCACGGTACAATATCCAGACCCCACCAGCAGACCGCATCTGGGATTGGCAGGACGGTGACGAGTTTGTTCCCAGTCCCCATGACTCTGATGAAACACAAAGTGGAATAAAGCCATCTTGTCCACTTGAGAACAATGCCAGTGAACTGGACTGCTTTGAGTTATTCTTCGATGAACCCCTGATGGACATCATTGTCAGGGAAACAAACACATACTCTGATTACACCATGGCAAATACAATTCTCTCACCAAAATCACGGCTACACAAGTGGAAGGAGACAACTGTGGCAGAGATGTACCTGTTTTTTGCCACAATAATGCTTATGCCACATGTGTATAAGCACACTGTCACCACATACTGGCCAAAAGAACGCCTGATTTCAACTCCAGGTTTTAGTGACATTATAGGTGTCAATCGTTTCCTGATACTGTTACGTATGTTACACTTTTCAGACAAAACCAGGCCTGACAGAAGAGACAGGTTATATAAGATCAGAAATGTGTTTATGTACCTGAAACAAAAGTGCTGCATGTATTTTTATCCCTTCAGGAAGCTTGTTATTGATGAGTCCTTGATTTTATTGAAAGGAAGACTCATTCAAGCAATATATACCAAGCAAGAGGAAACGCTTTGGTATAAAGCTATTTGTACTGTGTGATTGCAGAAGTGGTCTAGTTTTGGATATCATTGTGTACACTGGCAGTAATACTTTGAGAGATACCATGAAGTTATTGGGTATCTCTGGTGATGTGGTTCGAACAATGATGGAACCATATCTTGGTAAGGGGCATATGTTATTTACTGATAACTGGTACACAAGCCCCTTACTCACTCGCAGAGGTGAGGTGCAAGCCTTTGCTGCCAATGACATCATGGCAATGTGATGTCACATTGTTGACGTCAGTTCACAGAAACGAAATGGTACCCAGTGGCAGGGACAACAGAGAGACCAATGAACCCATTCTAAAGCCTGCAGCTGTCATGGACTACAACCTCAATATGCACTTAGTGGACAAATGTGACATGCAGATTGGGTTTGCAGACTGTGTACGCAAGAGTTATAAGTGGTATATAAAACTTTTTTTCCATCTTGTTGATATCTCTATGCTAAATGCTTATAACATACAAGTTGAAGACCAACAAAACACCAAAATATGGTGAATTTTGCCTGTCAGTAATCAGACAAATAATTGCAAAGTACCAAGGAGCAACTCCTGCAATAGACCAGCGCCCACACACATCATCTCGTTTCAGGCCTGGTGATCACTACCCCATACAACTGCCTCCTGCTACTGCCAAGAAAAATGCTCAGAAGTAGTGTTATGTATGTATGCATACCACAAACGCCCACAAACACGCAGAGACACTCGTTTTATGTGTGAGGAGTGTGAAGTGCCCCTCTGCATATACCAATGTTTCAAAGAGTTCCACAAGCTGCAGCAGTTCTAGGAACGTGTTTAGTGACTGTACATATGTATATATATTATGGAACAATAGTAATAAACATTGTTTTGTATTGTTTGTCTGTGTAAACAGTGTATACACAAACTAATAGTGATAAAGTTTGTTCTGTTATTGTGTTGTAAACAATGAGTGTATATTTGAACAATGCACCTTACATTGGTCTCACAGGCCACATAAGTTACCTGGAACAGAAAAATATTGAAAAATGCAAGAAACCTTTGAATTAGAGTAAATAAAAGAATACCGGGTGGGCGGCAGTCGCCGCTGTTGCCGTACGCACGTCACTTTCTGCAAAATTTGCAGCTCTATATCTCGGTAAGTACTGATGGCAAAATTTTTTTATTAGGCTTTAAACACTCACAAAAATATTCCTAACATTTTCATAAGAAAAATATTTTTTTTTTTTCGAATATTTGGCGACATAAAATGACAGTTTCAAAGAGGGGCCTGAAACAGTCCAAAGGTTAAAGGAAAATCAAATTATATTTTACATTTCATCTAATGTGGAACTGTTAACAATTTACAGGCTGATTTCAATTAGTCTAATGATGTAGTCAAAACAAGAGGCATTTCAGGGTATGTTCAGGGAACAGTACCAGAATTTCTGTAGGGGAGCAATCTTCTTAGAAGGAATGGGGGGGGGGAGCTAGGAGACCTGTTTTTCAGTATTTTTTTTTTTACACACACCAGCCACCTCTTACCAAGGCAGAGTGACCTGAAAAAAAAAAAAAGAAGAAACTTAAGTTTCTCTTCTTCTGACATTTAGTATTTCACTATCATTTAGTTAATCACTGTCTTTTCAGAAGTGTGCTGGTATCACACATAAGATGTGTCTTGAAATGTGACATGTTCCCCCCTCTTTCAAAGTGCACACTGCATTTCCCACCTCCAGGTCTCAAGTCTGACTACCAATTTCCCTGAATGTTTTCAAATGTCACCCTGCTCACACACCAACAGCATATCAAGCTGTGAAAAAACTACTCATCTTCACTTAACCCCTTCGGTGTCAGTGCTGTAATATTAAGGCTTTGAAGCCAGTGTCAGTTGCATAATACTATGCCAAAATTCTAGCAGCTTCAAATTTTGTGGGAGAAAGCTGGTAGGCCTACATACGGGAGAATGGGCCTGCAAGGTCAATGTGCTCAGTATAAAAAAAAAACCTGTAGCAAGCACTGCATGAGAAAAAAAATGCGACTGATTGGTTTAAAACAGCGAGTTTCTGGTGTATTTTCGTAAGGTATTTTTTG